TTCCTTGGAAATCTGATGTCAACGTTATCAGTTCACGAGGGGTTGCGATTCTAGATAGCCTGACACCTGTTTAAAGCTTTTATCGCAATGCTAATGTTGAGCAAACGTCGAGGGATTAAGTTGTTCACGTGAAGATTTTTTCATACGCATCGATGAATTATCTCCCGTGATTAAATTACAACCAGCTCAGGTATCGATTTTGTGGTAAAAGCACAGCTGACGTTAAAATCGATGATGTTGGGAATCTTTGGCAAATAATACCCACTTGGTGGCGAAGATGTGAATGTGGAGCAATTTCATTTGTGGGTTGCATCAGTTCACTGCACGATCGTAAATGGATTGGGTTTCGAACGAGCGAATTTCCGTTTCCTTCTCATTATCGGAGTTTCAAGGAGTTGTTTTTATTTACGAGGTTTGTTCGCGTAATGACTGTACTCCGGAGGAGCAAACTGTAACTTCACTAACTTAATAGAAATATCCTGGGTTTGTTTCAGATCAAAGATTAATATTTTCTTCTAAATCGATCGCAGTAAAAGTAATGACTGAGTCAATTTATTTTATTTTATTTTTAACCATTTTAACCATGTTTTAAGTTTCTTGTTATGAAAAGATGCCTATGTATATTAAGAAAAAAAAAGGGCAAAATATAACCCCCACCCACCCGTCCTATCCCAATTCTGATGATTTTTTTATACGTCGTGAGATAAGAGGACGGAGCTTAACTGCAAACTCTCTACGTGAAATTAATAATATGTTTTTGAGTACCATGTTGTTCAAAGGATACTATCCATACTAGGAGATAGAGGGATATATACGGATAGAGATGGATATGATATAGAAGGTTATAGACAAACATAGAAGGATATAGAGGGATATACACAGATGCAGAAGGATATATACGGATGTAAAGGATACAGAAATTGCTAGTTTTAAAATCCCGTCAAAAAATGGGGCTTTTCTCCATTATTCTTGATCCTAGAGCTAGAATAAACACAGATTTATGATCCTGAAAAATTTCCGTTTAGATAGACCGGACCGATTTTAGTAGTTCTAAAATGTTGTCAGAAAAGGGAAATTTTAGAAAGATGTAGACGGATATAGGAAGCTATAGAAGGACATAGAGAGATATAGAAAAGTATAGAAAGATATATAGACCGATATAGGAAGATGTAGATAGACATAACCTGGATTTAGACGAATGTAGAAGAATAATTTAGAAAACTATAAAAGAATTTAGAAAGATAGATCAAGATGAAGAAGCATATAGAAGGATGTAGAGGTTTACAGAAGGATATAGACGAACATAGAAAGATGTGGAAGGATATACACAGATACAAAAATTGAGCAGTGTTAAAATTCCGTCAAAAAAGGGATTTCAGAAAGATATAGACGAATATAGAAATATACAGAAGGGTATAGAGAAATATAGAAAAATATTGAAAGATGTAGACGGATGTAGGAGGATGTAAACAGAGATAGTCGGATATAAAAAGATTTAGGGCGATATAGAAGAATACAGAAGGTTATAGAGAGATATAGACAATTATAGAAAGATAATGACGTATATAGACGAATTTAGAAAGATATAGAAGGACATAAGAAGATAGATCAAGATGAAGAAGCATATAGACGAACATACAAAGATGTGGAGGGATATATACGTATAGAGAAGGATATACACAGATATAGAATGATATAGAAAATATAGAAGTATATAAGAAGATAGGTCAAGGTGAAGAAGCATATAGAAGGATATAGACGTTTACAGATGGATATAGAAAAACATAAAAAGATATGGAAAGATCTACACGGATACAGGAGTATATACACACATATGGAAGGATACTTCTATTACATCGTAGGTAGAGTGGAAGAACAAACACGTGAACTCTACCTTTGTGTCCATTAGGTTAATTTACTTTAATATTGTAATTGTTCTGTTTTTTTCCCATTCATTTTATCCACAATTTTATATAGGTTATTGTGTTTTTTTCTTTTTTGTCATAAATTCTTATATTATGTATGTATCTTATGGACGCCATAAATTCTATTCTATTCTATAGAAATTAGGTAATTTTAAAAATTCCGTCAAAAAGTGGGGATTTTGTCCATTATTCTTGATCGTAGAGCAAAAATAAGCACAAATTCGTGATTCTGAAAACCTTTTCGTTTAGATAGACCACACGGATTTTAGTAGTTTTAAAATTTCGTCCAAAAACTGGATTTCAGAAAGATATAGACGAATATCGAAGTATATAGACGAATGTAGGAGGATTTAGACAGTCATAGCCGGATATAAGAAGATTTACGCGGATATAGAAGAATTTAGAAGGCTCTAGAGAGATATAGACGATTATAGAAAAATGATCAGGGCGAATAAAAAAAAATCATCAGAATTGAGACAGGGTGGGTGGGCGGGGCTTATATTTTGCCTTTTTTTTTCTTAATATATTTAGCCATCTTTTCCTAACAAGAAACTTAAAACATGTTTAAAATGGTTTTTGCAAGGAAATATGGATTTTGCAATTATGGGACGGAGAATTATAAGTTTAACTTTTTCATACCGAATCTTTTATAAGCAAGCGGTAGCCCCGCCCACCCACCCCTTCTTCATTCCAATGACTGCTCTTAATATTGTTCAGTTATTTACCACAATCAGTCTGAGGCAAATTACATACCCCCTAAGACAATAGAGGGCGAGTTAAAAGTTGAACTTAGACCCTTCCACCCACCCGTTCGCTCATTTTTTTCGTCAAAAATAATAAATAAATGTTACTGCAAATAAGGAACATAAGAAAAAAATTAAAGAACATATAATTCAATATTCTCTTAGAGAGTGTCATTTACTAATAAACTATCTGCCAAAATTAGCCTTATCTTAGCAAGTACTAGCCCCGCCCACCCACCCTCTCCTCATTGTAACGACAAATTTTACTTTTGTTCAGCATAGCATGCACTTTTCATTCAGGGAAAATAAAACTAATCACTGAAATAGAGGCGGGGTGGGTGGGCGGGGTTAATTATATATTCTTCTGTAGAGTGAGAATGAGAACTATATTATAGAATCTAGGATACAAAAAAAGTGCAAAAAACGTCAATCGTAACTTTTTTGCTATTTGCTATTTGCTATGAGATTTACTTCTTATTTCAGAAGAAAAAATTGCCAGTATGGGTGGGTGGGAATGATTAATTTTAGCTTTTTCCTAGGTTTTTAACTTAATTCTCTTATTTTATCTGGATGTTTTATTAATTTATTTAAAATGTAGATATGTATATATGGTGTTTTTCAAATGGAACACCTCCATTTTGTGAGAGAGTATATCATTTGCCAATAAAAGATCTCACAAATCAGTCTTATCTTAACAAGTACTAGCCCCGCCCACCCACCCTGTTCCCATTTTAACGATTTTATCTCTTTTCATTTGAGATTCACTTTTAATTCTAACTAGACAAAATGAATCATTGAAACGGGGGCAGGGTGGGTGGGCGGGGTGAATTATATGCTCTTTTGTAAAGTGAGAATGGGAACTAATAGAACGTAGTCTGTTAAAAAAAAGCGTAATTTATTTCTTATTTCTGAAGAAAACAAGTGGGTGGGCGGGGATAAAGTTAAATTTTTCATACCGAATCTTGTATAAGCAAGCGGTAGCCCCGCCCACCCACCCCATGTTGATTCCAATGACTGCTCTTAATATTGTTCACTTATTTACCACAATTAGTCTGAGGCAAATTACATACCCCCTAAGAAAATAGAGGGTGGATTAAAAGTTAAACTTAGACCCTCCCACCCACCCGTTCGCTCATTTTTTTTCTTCAGAAATAAGAAAAAAATGTTATTGCAATTAAGTAACATAAGAAAACAATTCAAGAACACATAATTCATTATTCTCTTAGAGAGTATGTCATTTGCTAATAAACTCTCTGCCAAAATTAGCCTTATCTTACCAAGTACTAGCTCCGCCCACCCACCCTCTTCTCATTGTAACGACAAATTTAATTTTTGTTCAGCATAAGAGCACCTTTAATTCAAGGAAAATAAAACTAATCACTGCAATATAAAGGGGGGTGGGTGGGCGGGATTAATTATATGTTCTTCTGTAGAGTGAGAATGGCAACTATATTATAGAATCTAGGATATAAAAAAGTGCAAAATGCGTCCATTGTAATTTTTTTGTTGTACTATTTGCTAAGATTTACTTCTTATTTTAGAAGAAAAAATTGCCAGTATTGGTGGGTTTTTAACTTAATTTTCTTATTTCATTTGGATGTTTTATTAATTTATTTAAAATGTAAACATGTATACAGAGTGTTTTTCAAATAGAACACCTCCATTTTGTGGGAGAGTATTTCATTTGCCAATAAAAGATTTCCCAAAATCAGTCTTATCTTAATAAGTACTAGCCCCGCCCACCCGCCTTTTATTTTTTTAGAGGGTACGTCGTTTGCCACAATCAATCTAATCTTAGCAAGTATTAGCCCCACCCCCGTTATGCTTTTCTAAGGTATAATTTTTTTCTTATACTACTTATTTGCTGTAACATTTATTTCTTATTTTTGAAGAAAAAATGGGAGAACGGGTGGGTGGGCGGGGCTAAGTTTAACTTTTTCATACAGAATTATTTATAAGCAAGCAATAGCCCCGCCCACCCGCCCTGAAGACACTTTCTTGTAGATTCCGAGACCTAGAATTCCTTTCCTACCTCATTTTCTTGATAACTCCAATAGTTTTTCCAGAATCGGCAGTTGAAATATCGAATTTTTTGGAATTAAAAAAAAATGTGATTTTAAAACAGATACTTTTTTGGAATCAGTAATTTTTAATAGTGAAAATTTTCCAATATTCCCCCCTTCTTCCAATTTCGACCCATCTTTAACCATTTTCGTAACTTAAACAAATAGATTTTCTTGTAGATTTCGAGGTCTAGAACTCATTCCGAACTCGAAATTTTTGGAATTTAAAAAAAATTCGACTTGGAATGTTGTCAGATTCTAAAATTTACCTTTGGCAAAAGTGTGCATAGAGTCTGTAGGTAACCATCGACTCCACATTTTTCCCAGTTCTTTCTTCGCCATGGGATCATCATGGCCCAACGCTGGGAAGACGAACTGAGAACTGAAAGTCTTCATTAGCAAGTCGGTCAAATTCTGTAGCAGCTGCAGTTTGACGTTTTCGTGCAATTTTTTGGCATTGTTGTGGGAAAGGGCGTCCCTGGAACAATAATTGTGGTTTAAATATGTCGCACAAGCACTGAATGTCAAAGAAGCACGAAATTTTGCCCGAATTTAAAATAAAACAAAATCCGCTACAGATTTGCATAAAATCTAATCCAGTGCATGGATCCCCCGCATCTCGATAGCCAACTTCCATCCAGAAACAAAACTCGATTTCCGAAAGTATAAAAATCGGATATTGCTGAAAGCTTTCCCATAATATCCTTATTATAATGCTAGTTCGTCCGTGTTCCGGCACTGCTCTTTCGTAATACGATGAAAGTCCAATTTGAATCCCGAAAAGCGTCAGCCGCTTCCTCCTTTTTGTTCTAGACAAACTGACATCGTGAAACTGAGATGCAGTCGATTTTATTACGGCCATTTCTTATTCAGAAGCCGTCCTTACATCGCCTGCAGCGGTGACTCGTAACGAAATCAAACAACCAACACTGGACACCCCGCTCCCTAGGGATTTAAGTCAGACTTTTAACAAATATTCAATTTGCGATACAGTCGATGACGACGTTAACGTAATGGAGTCGAAGGATCAGAGGATGTGAGAAACTTTTCACGGAATTTCGTGCTTTCAGGTGCAAGACTGTGACGATCATAAAATTCGTCGGTGCTCGGGAAGTTCGATGGGATATTGTGACAGTGAGGCATAAAGTGTCGGGTTTTAATCGTAGGTAAGGGGGTATTGTGAATCGGGCGCACTATCAACGTAACAATTAAACAAAACTCGGTTATAATGGAAAGGACGCAGTAATGGTAGACGGAGATAAATAGATGCGTATATACGGCTTGCCTAATCTAAAAAAGCTTCCGAAATTAAAATCTATCTTTTCCGCGGCGACAATAAATTAACCCCAAAGCGTCATCTCTACAACCCGCAAACCCTAAAACCTCACCATTTATGGCTTCCATAAATTCGCGGCCGACAAAGGATCGAGTTCTATTATAGCGGTGTTAAGAAGTGTCGCAAATAAATTGTAGAAACGATTCTCCTGGTTCATTTTTAAGGCTGTAATAAAAATATTCATACGAATACACATACGAAAATGTAATGGACAATAAACTCAACATTCGCCGTATTATTATAAAGAACCGTAACGGTTTTATTTTCACAGAGATAAAAAGTGCCTCTAAATGCCTAAAAAGATGTAATGAAACTAATAACGTTATTTTTCCCTGTGACTAAACTGTTTACGGCCGCTATAGAGAAATATATGGCAGATAAAGCAATAAAAGAGAAAGAATCGCCGACCCTAGGCTTCCTCCAATCTCGATACTTAAAAGTGCAGCGAAGCGGCGAAGGTGTACCCAGAGGAATTTGTTCAAATAAAGAAATTCTTGGCCGAACTATGAATTATTTATTTGTTTCTATTTTCGGTAGAGCGAACATGCAACCCGTTTTTCATTTTTCTAAAACATTACGGTTAGCGTTAGGACGACTCAGCAGTATCAAATTACCCCAACTCAGCACTATCAACTCAAATATCTCCGCGGTTTGAATTTTCCCTATTTGCATCCAGTTATTTCAGGTGTAAAATAATGCATTACATAAAATCGCTCACGCTGCGATAAAAATTTCACATACCTTGACGCATACGTATAGATCCAATTTCCAACTATGCGGTCCCAACAAACCACACAATATGCATCACACAATATTCGCTTTGAAACTAATTTGTACGGTTTTGTTCTCCTCTCGTATTTATTTCAGTATTAAATTAATAACACGAGCTGCAAATGCAATTTTCTGTCCTACACCCGCAGCGTCTGCTAATCATAATGTGCCAGCGTTTATTAAAAAATGCGTCTAATAATAAAGCAACTGCTTTTAATTACAGCTACTGAAGCCAGCTTGCTGTTTATACAATGAAGTTTATTAAACGGTTTTCAACTTCATTATGCTTTACTAACGGAGCGCCTGACAGATTTCATTAAACGTTTTTTACTTCTAGAAAAATGTTATTTTTTTCATGTATCAGAAGCTTCGACTCGGTGTTTGTTAGGATTAAGTAGTAAGTAGTTCCCATTCTCACTTTACAAAAGGACATATAACTCACCCCGCCCACCCACCGTGCCTCCATTTCAGTGATTCATTTAGTCTAGTCCCAATGGTGCTTCTCAACTGAAGAGACATAAAATCGATAGAAATGACCGAACAATATTAAGAGTAATCACTGGAATGAAGAGGGGTAGATTACACAGAGGATTAAAGTTCGTTGTCACATTTGGTAATAAAACACATGTATTTCCGTATGCATTGTGTTCTAAGATTTTTATATGTGTTTTCAAGTATTTCAAGTGTCTCTAATTATACGCTGTTGAATATAATTTTTTGATAGTGTAAGGTTTTTACAAACTTCATTTAAAGTGTTACAAAGAAATTTACATCCATAATCTGTGACAATTATTGTAGACAGTGTAATAAATTATGTATACAGGGTGTTTTTCAAATGATACATCTCTATTTTCTTAGAGAGTATTTCATTTGCTAATAAACCATCTGCCAAAATTAGCCTTATCTTAGCAAGTACTATCTTCTCATTGTAACGACAAATTTTATTTTTGTTCAGCAATAAGTTACACCTTTCATTCAAGGAAAATAAAATTAATCATTGAAAAAGAAGCGGGGTAGGTGGGCGGGGTTGATTATATGTTCTTCTGTAGATTGAGAGTGGGAACGATAATAGAATTTAGGATATAAAAAAGTGCAAAAAGTGTAAATTGTAACTTTTTTGTTGTACTATTTCCGATAAGATTTACTTTTTATTTCAGAAGAAAAAAATGCTAGTATGGATGGGTGGACATGATTAAGTTTAATTTTTTCCTAAGTTTTAAATTTAATTTTCTTTTTTCATCTGGATTATTAATTCATTTAAAATGTACATATGTATACAGGGTGTTTTTCAAATGGAACATCTAAATTTTGTGAGAGAGTATATCATTTGATAATAAACTATCTGCCAAAATTAGCCTTATCTTAGCAAGTTCTAGCCCCGCCCACCCACCCTCTTCTCATTGTAACGACAAATTTGATTTTTATTCAGCATAAGATGCACCTTTCATTCAAGGAAAATAAAATTAACCACTGAAATAGAGGCGGGGTGGGTGGGCGGGGTTAATTATATTTTCTTCTGTAGATTGAGAGTAGAAACTCTAATAGAATTTAGGATACAAAAAAGTGCAAAAAGCGTAAATTGTAACTTTTTGTTGTTCTATTTCCTATAAGATTTACTTCTTATTTCAGAAGAAAAAAATGTTATAAATAAGTTTTAAATTTAGTTTTCTTACTTCATCTGCATGTTTTATTAATTCATATAAAATGTATATATGTATACAAGGTGTTTTTCAAATGGAACACCTCCATTTTGTGAGAGAGTATATTATTTGCCAATAAACGATCTTTCAAAATCAGTCTTATCTTAAGATTTAAGAGTGATCACTGGAATGAAGAGGGGGTGGGTGGGCGGGGCTATTACTTTCTTATAGAAGATTCTGTATGAAAAAGTTATACTTAGCCCCGCCCACCCATCCGTTCTCCAATTTTTTTCTTCAGAAATAAGAAATAAATGAGTAGTATAACAAAAAAATGACGACTAACACTTTTTTAACAGCCTACGTTCTATTAGTTCCCATTCTCACTTTACAACAGAACATATAATTCACCCCGCCCACCCACCCTGTCTCCATTTAGGTGATTCATTTTGTCTAGTCCCTGTTAACATAGGGGCTAGTATCTGTTAACTTAAGATTGATTCTGGTAAATGACATACTCTCTAAGAAAATAACGGGTGTGTGGGCGGGGCTAAAACTTGCTAAGATAGGATTGAACAATATTAAGAGTAGTCACTGGAACGAAGAAGGGGTGGGTGGGCGGAGCTAATACCTGCTAAGATAAGACCGATTGTGGCAAACAACATACCCTCTAAGAAAATAGAGGGCGGATGGGCGGGGCTAGTACTAGTTAAGATAAAACTGATTTTGGTAAATGACATATCTGTTAAGAAAAAAAAGGGAAGGTGGGCAGGGTTACTGCTTGCCGATAAAATTAGAGAAAAGCTAAATTTAGCCCCGCCACCTCCTTTATCCGTTTCACTGAGTTGTTTTATTTAGTGTAAAATTGCAATTGAAAAATAACAGTCTTGTATTCTCAAAGTTTTCTGGGAAAATTGACTAAACCGTCCCTGATTTAATCAATAAAATAAATTTACTCATTTTGCACATTTTGGGTAGAATGTATTCGGCAAAATTTTGAGATGACCGTCATCAATTTTTTGGCGGAAATAAACAGATATTTTGATTAACAATTTACCATGCTTACAATAACTTCAAAACAGATTCAGAATTAAATTTCAAAATATTGTTTTATAATTTTGATTTTTTTTTCCAAAAATCTGGACGTTTTGGATAAGAACTCAATACGGAGTCATAAACTACATGTGTAGAACTATGTTAATAATTTTTGTTTCGTAGGTGGCATCTTCAGGAGCAGGGTTGAGAAATTAGGAATAGGGCAATAGAACCATACAAAAAAATAGTATCACAAACGAATCCAGTATAGAGTAAAAGAAGAACTAAATAATAATTGAAAAACAGTTAAAATGGGGAGTAAAAAACGACACACAGGAACGGAAACTGGACAAAGGCCAAAATATGGCCTAAATATAGGCAATAAAAATGCTGGACTTAGACCCGAAAAATGGCAAAATAGGCGTTTTAGGCAACATCTGTCATTTATTTTATTATTTCACATAATTAGCGGACCTAATAATTAGATATTTTTCTAAATTTTCGGCAGCAAATTTTTTCCTATTGTCTGTTAGGACATATTTATATCTAGAGAAGGATCTTTTAACACCACACCATGTTAAAGGAGATTATTTAAAATTAAAAATTTCAGTGGGTTTATTTTTAAATCTTTTTCTACATTTTTGCCTTGTAGTACTTTGTTGACAAGTTTAATATTCGAAAAGGTTAAAAGTGCTAAAA